AAGGAGGAGGGGACAGGTGGTGACGAGCTGATTGGGCTGGTTGACCCTTAGGCGCGAGAATCTTTAGACCAAGAACCCAAGTACAACGAGGGAGAAAGCGAGGAACCGACTGGGAAGGACAGCAACGAGAGCGTGTACGAAGCGGAGCGGGTCGAGTTTGGTCGTGCTAGGACTGGCCACAGCGGCACCGGAGCAGCGGCACCGGAGCAGGCGGACGGCATCGAACCGTGGCGCACGGACAAACATCTCTTGTGTCGTCAATTAGGCTATTTTTCCGTTTTTTACCTGAATACGGTTTTTGGGTGTGTGACGACGTTACTGGTTTTGTAGAGGGACACGGCAGAGATGGCGCGGATAACCCGGGTGCCTTGATTGTTTACCTGCATCGTGGAAGACCCCTTCAATGTGGAACGATTCCTAGTCAGTGTCGATGTTTACACTGCTGTGCCTAACACAGATGATCTGGATAGATTCGGGTGATTGTCAATTGCAATGATGGCTTTGGTTGGGTGTTTTTCATTGTATGTCCACGGACTCATTCTGGCAGCACTTCAGACAGCAGCTGCATACCCCGAGCTTGTGTACCATGCACCATGGTGTTATTGTACAGGCAGCACTTCAGACAGCAGTACGCTATAGTCGACAAACATTCATTTTGGTTAAATGCGGGACAAGGGGGGTGATGCTGCTGCTGTAGTGGATTTGTAGTGTGTGGGCGTGTAGTTCAGTTGTGAGCATGCAAACGTGCTGCAGGGATTGCAGGTGTACCTCCTCGGGCTTGCGTACCCTTTTCTTGCTAATAGTGTGTGTGTTCTTTAGATCTTCTGATGGCTCTAGCATTTTTGTGACCACGGACCGAGTCTTTGCTAGATTTTGGGATTAGCAACTGACACGAGTTTGCAAACTCCGTTTTTTTTTTTCTCCCAATATTGGACTCTGTCGTCTGCCCCTCTGGCCCCTATCCTCCACTTCTACTAGCTAGACGACCCAACCGGGGTCACATAGCAGGGGGGGGCAAGACCCCCTCCTGCGGTTCCTGCCTGAGGTATTTTTATCGCCAGAAGGGTACAGCAATCCCTTCCCTCGCGACTTATGAAGTCGATTATGGTTAACTAACAACAAGCTTTGCAGCGCGTCGCTTCCATCTTAGACCAGGATTTATTTAGCGAGAAAAAAACTCACTCTGCCGGGACTCGAACCCAAAATCTGGCCCTTAGCAGGCTGCGAGGTAACCCACTAGACCACCGGGGCGACCGGTAGTATTGTAATGTACCGTACATTGGTTCCACGAGGTTTTCCAAAAGCATTTTTTGTCCTCGGGGATGGTTCTGTTGCATTGGGTACAAGCGATGGTCCCACAGCGCAACACCGTGGAAATGTACGAAGAGAAAAACGGCGTTTCGGTTGTTCGTCGTGGTTGTCTTTGCTCTGGCCGTCGTTCACATGTTCTGGTCTTGTGCACCTCTCGGATGTACGTACATGTAAACTCGAGACGTACTCGCTTCAGAAGAAAAAGACAGGGTAATCTGATGTTTCGATTCATACAACCAGTGTTTGTGCAGGGTAGATCGGGTTGTTACAGTTTCACATGGCGGACGCTTGTTCGTAGTTCTTGCTTGACAGTGTCAAGATGCCTCAACCAATGCATCTCACCCCGCGAGTAACGTGGCTCCATTCTTAGGGCTGCCGTCCATACGCATGTCTGCCAACTTCCCCGATTGCATGCTATATCCAACATGTTTACTTAGTAGAAAAATTCTTGCGAAGGCTTCTCATTTGGCGAATCGCTGCTTTGGCCATGATGCAACACTGGTGTGGCCATGATTAACAGAAAGTCTGTCTCACTTTGTGCCTTCCTTCTCAAAGGTCGCTAATTTTGCTCAATATAATCAAGACGTTGCTTATCTCAAATGAAAATCTTTGGCAGCCCGATCGATCACAAGCAGGCTGGCTTGAAATCCAGTCGCCGAGGACAGCACCTTGCGATGCGTGTTCTTGGTCTGTATCGACAGCTTGGGGGCTGACGAATGAGTTATTTACAGCACACCAAAGCACTTGTTCAAGATACACGTGTGAACGAGAACCAGGCACACAACAGTCCGTCCGTCGCAAAGAGTAACAGAAGGGAGACAGCCGTCCCTGCGGGAGACAGATTCGACTACAGCACATGACCTGAAACATGTGTGCTCTTCCCCCCCACCCCGCCGATTCATCCAGCCGACAAACAGGGGAAGCAGCAGTTCGAAGACAAGACACTTAGCACCCGAGCTCGCTAGCGCACCGGCGTGCAGCCAGCCAGGGTCAGGATGGCCAAGGTCGGGGCGATAGCGGGACGCATGTACCACATGGCCTTGTTCTTCCTGTTGAGCACGATCGTGTTGGGGGCCGCCTTCATCGCGACCTCGATGTCCTCGCGGTTCTTCAAGTGGTCGGTGGAAGGGTGCTCCGCGTTCGGTAACGTAGCCATCCCCGGCAGCAGCGATCTGATCGTCGACTTCAACCTCGACATGACGGTGGACATCGGCTGGAGGGAGTTCACCGTGACCAGCCTTGACCAGGGGACCGAGACGATGGGCGAGTGCTTGGGTGAGCTCAAGCAAGGGCAAACCTACTCCATCGGAGACTACCAGGTGGGCGCGCGCGTGTCTCTCTCTCTCTCTCTCTCTCTCTCTCTCTCTCTCTCTCTCTCTACGTTATCGTGTTTGCCGGTGTACAGGAGCCTTCGCAATGTTTTTTCTATAATGTATGCATGTTGAACATATGTTACTACTTTCTATAAGGGAAGTCGGGTTAGTGCTCGCGAAGGTGATCTTCTATGGGCTCTCTCATCCGTTGTCATTATTTGGCGTGGGTATACATGCGTCGTGCTTCAAGCAGTCGGGACAAGCATCGTGTGGGTGTACGTCATACTTGAAGATGTCTGGACATGACAACCAACCAAGAGTATACGTCGCCTATGCATGCGTTTTTCTCGAGGACCAACAATGTCTGCTGAGCTTCCGAGTGATGGAAGGAATGGCATGTACTCTTGTATGGATTGCCCTTTTTGCGGTCGCGACGATTCCTGCCTGACCGTGCAATTTTTTTAACTTGTTATTTTTTCCGGTCGAGAACGTCCGGATACCCTGCTGTGTACTCAAACACATGCTCCGTTCATTGGCGTTTCCAATTCGAACGGGTAGGAGCCACGTGAGATGAGCAAGGATACTATAGAATGGGGATTGTTCTAGGTGCTACCACAGGATGGCACTCTCTAGGGATGATTTTCTGTGCAAGTGTGTACGCGTGTACACGTCTTTTTGCCCCATCATGCCTCTTATTCTCTTGAAATGACTGCCGTTGGCAGACGCCACCACCGAGTTTTTCCACCGGTTTGCGCAACAGACCCCTTATGAGGATGCATGTTCTAGCCTCAACGTACCTTTTGTTGTCGAGCATCGGGAGGGCATTGACGCACATGTAGTACAGCGACAGGAGCAGCAGCAAGACAGGGAGTATTTCGGCGGTGGGCCCCTCGTCATGGTGCATGTCCCAACGGCAGCAGGACCCCTTGTTTTATACTTACCTCTGCTTGTCTCGAAGTACCCCTTACTATCTCAACGAACCTCTATCTCAACATACCTCTGCTTGCCTCAACATACCTCTTGTTGTCTCAACATACGTCTTGTTGTCTCAACATACGTCTTGTTGTCTCAACGTACCTCTTGTTGTCTCAGCATACCTCTGCTTGTCTCGATGTCCATCTGCTTGTATCAAAGTACCTCTATTGGTCTCAACATACCTCTCAGCTTGTCTCAGCGTACCTCTCCTTGTCTCAACATTCTAAAGTTTATTTGTACCACCGTACCCCTCCTTGTCACAAAACGCCATTGCATTGTACCTTTTCTTGGTCCCGGCAGGACAACAATGCCTCCCTGGCAGGACTGGGCATGGTGGCCTCTTGGGCCCTCGGCGTGCTCGTGGCACTCTACACGTTCGTGGCTTTGCTGGGGGCCAGGCATGGGCAGAGGAGGGGGGGCGTGTCCCTCAAGATGCTGACGAATTGGTGTGCCTTGTTCACCGTTGGTTTGGTAACCGCCACGACGGTGAGTGTAGGAGAGAGGGAGAGAGAGAGAAAGAGAGAGATGTGTACCGGACCAAGCTAAACGGAAATTTTAGTGAGCGAAACTGTGGACGATTCAAGTTATTGTGATTTCACACATGTGTAGAACAGATCACCTCGGAGCAACCCTACTCAGATATCGACATCCTACAGCTCGATGCATTCGAATTTTTAGACGATTCAACTGATTCTGTTCCCCCGGCGGGGAAACATAGAGATCGAGATTGTTGGTCATGGTAGTGCAAAAGCTACGAACTCTTCCTGAAGTCTACAGTGAAGCGAGAACGCTCGGCGGGTGAATGTATCCCTCAGTCTTGGACTATTGCGCAGTCGTTCGTGTCCGCCGCTTCCGACCTGCTCCGAGACTTGACACATCGATCGCGCGCATTTGTTTTCCGAAAGCGAGGTAGTTGGTCGTGTCGTGGTGGGACAAGAGTTAGATGGAGCCGCTTTTACATGCCAAATGGTGTTGGTACCTTCACCGCAGCTGCCACCATCCACAACCAGATAGGCCAAAGTCCACGGGCGCGTCGTGATGACGCCTATGTAGCATGTATCATTGGCCCGGCCCACGCGTTGCTGGTGTACGGACGTCGACGTTGTATCTTGTACTGACACTCTTTTTGTTGTGGGTATCTAGGCCGGGCCATACCCGCCAGCGACACGTACACGGAAGCCCGCGAGGTTACGAGGTGCGCCCTGCCTTAAGCCAAACCAATCCGGGGTGTTCAGAGAGCGCCAGTGCCCCCCGTCCATGACGTATCTATCCCGACCGATCAATATCCCCGAGGCAGGTGTTTTGGTGGCTGATTGAGGGCAAGTTCGGGAAGCGTCAGGAGTCGTTGGCCCCCCGCCTGTTCCAGAGGGTAGAGGAGGGGGCGGAGCTGTGCAGCAACGGCAGCACGGAGGACCAGTGCAATGAAGCCACTTGGTCGATGGACGCCCCTGGCTGGGCCCTCTCTATGGGCGTGACTGCGGTGAGGGGGGGGGAGAGGAGACCTCCTGGCTATTCCAGCTTGGGCGAGGGCAGGGGAGAAACGTACTCTCATGTTTTGCATGCAGTAGCGATCAGACCATTGACCACGTGTACTCGAGAGAAGGGGGGGGAGGGGTGTACTCATAGTCGTGCATGCCGTAGTCGTTAGACCATTGACCTCGCATCCCTACAAAGCCGGGACGGAGCACGCCGGGTTCTCACCGGACCAGGCTCTCACA